AAAAGTAAGGTTCTACATTTAGGCAAGAAAAACCAAATGAACAGATATAGAATAGGTGGTACCATAGTAGTAACTGTTAGAAAAATCTTGAAGTCCTAGTGGACAATCACTTAAATATAAGTCAGCAGTGTGCAGCAGCTGCCAAAAAAACCCCAAAAAACAAAAAACAACCCAACACAACTCTAGGTTGTATTAACTAGCAGAGGGATAAAATCAAGATCATGTGAAATGTTAGTACAGCTTTAAGACCAGACTTGGAATACTACACCCAGTTTGGAGTGCCATGATAGAAAAAAGGTGTTGAGACTTATAGAAAGAGTGCAAAGAAGAGCAATAAAGATGATTGGGGCACTGGAGGCTAAAACATATGAAGAACGGTTGCAGGAATTGGTTATGTCTACTTTAATGAAAATGAATAGGAATGATATCTAAGGGGCTTCTACTACTCTCCAAAGGACTTGAAGGCAGAACATGAAGCAATGGATGGAAACTAATCAAGGAGTGAAGCAACCTAGAACTAAGAAGAAATTTCCTGATAGTGAATCCCACCAATTGCAGTTTGTTCAATAAAGTGGAGTTAACTAAGCCATTGATTTACTGTGTCTCTACTACTTGACAATAGTCTGCTTCTAGGTTCATAAACTGTTCTAAACAATGCTGTATTTACCATAATGTATTGATCTGTAAATAGCAATAACTGGGTTTACACATTCAGTAAATCATAATTGACCGTAATTTGTTTGTTGATCTAGAATTGAGTAAAGAGCAGTTTGTGCTTAGAGAGCATCATTTAACATGTTTTTGAGATGGCAAGGGCTACTATAGGCAGGCTGCACACAAAATATATAGAGATGTTGTGACACCCATACTTGAGTGCAGTCAAGATTTCTCCTTTATTCTAGTTTGTAATGGGGTGAATTGTTTGATTTTTTTAAACGATATTAAACATATTTTATGGTTTACTTTCCATGATCATGGGAAACAGGGTTGCTTTGGAATTGTCCACTCTTGTCTTTTTGGAAAAGAACACAATTGCTTTCTGTTGATTTCAGATCACATATAATTAATTATTCTTCATTAGCAGGTGGGTGTGTTGCTGCGCTAGGCAGAAAAGATGCATAACCAAAAAATCTTACACTGTACTTTGTTTGCTTCCTCCTGTTCCAGTGTGATCGTGAATTTAACTCAAGTGCAGTTCTTAGAAACTATGTTGTGAATTAGAGTCCTGCCTTCTTCACCCTATCTTGTTGTGGCTGTGGTGCCTTGACATCATTATCTGTATTTGGTTGTTGCTGAATGCCTGAGATAGCATTTCCACTTCATATCGTATTTGTTTATTTGTCTTGCAACCTGCACTCTTCATTTGGGCTACTTTTGTTAAAGTTCTTTCAATATACCACTCGGTCCTAGTTCCACTTTTGTTGGGATTTGCAATTGAATGCAATTTGCATTATAACCATTTAAGCAAATAGTGGTTTTCTTTGTTTGTTTCTGCGTTTCTTTATTTTTACAGCTGATGGAAACTGTCTTATTTATTTCCATGTTTTGTTCTGTACCCACCAAAGAAATTCCATTTGACTTGAATAAGCCCTAGGTTTTGGCCACGATTGGGAAAAAAAATAACTTAGCAGAGTTTGAACAAAATTAAATGGAGTGCTCTGTAAAACCAATAGCTACCGAAGGGACACAATAGGAAATGCATATAATAGATTCTCATTGAAATAATAAATTACTTTGTTTTTAGAACTGGGGAAATTGGAAAAGAAATCTATTCCCATATGAAAAGTCAAATTAGATTTAAATGCTTATAATTATGGCACTTGTGCACCACCATCACTCAAGGACTCTTTTCAGTTGCATTATTTCCTCATGTTTAATATCATATTTAATGCTAACAATTTTGCATAGCTCCAGAAGCATTATCTAGGGCAGTGGTGGCAAACCTATGGCATGGGTGCCAGAGGTGGCACTCAGAGCCCTCTCTATGGGCAAGCGTGCCGTCGCCCTAGTCCTAGGCCTTCAGCTGGGTTTTATAAAACCTTTTCACTTTAGGCCTCCGCTGACGTGTACAAAAAAAAAATATGTTCAATCAGTCAATTTCAACTTCTCGCAGGAAAAAAAATATCTTGCAAAGTTGGAATTGATTGAACTTTTTAGTCCCACCCAGTCTGCCGTTATCACCACAGCCATGCCCACCCAATGGGCCACGCCCACCCAATTGGCCACACCCAGCCAGCACTCAAAGATGCATAAGTGGGTTTTGGGTTGCAGTTTGGGCACTCGGTCTCTAAAAGGTTTGCCATCACTGATCTAGGGATTTAATTTCAGAAGGGTATGGTTAGTTAGCAGATGCTCAATTCATGTGGAAGCCTAAAAATTGTGTGGGTGATATTTATCTATCTTCATAGGGAAAGACTCTGAAAACAACAGCCAACAAAAACATCAGCTCTGAGAAATATCATTAGAGCTAGAGCACAGAAACGTATTACACTGAACACTGTCTTCTGGTTCCTCAACATGTTGACGAGATCATGGTTATGGCTAATACGTCACTGCATATGTGGCTTACTTGGCCAGTAAAAAAAGTTTGGGAGAAGACGTTTTTGCAAACTATTGTCATTATAACTGTTTAAAATATTCTGTTTTGTAATGCATTGCTTCTCTTATTAATTATCATTACTTGGATTAATATAAATTACAGTACAATTACATTGTCCTGAAAGACAGCAGCAAATTTTACCTAACTAAATTGGATGCCAACCAGTTTAGAATTGGCTCTCTCTGAAAACGTAACCCACAGTATTAAAAAATTGAGAAACATGAATCACAAAGCCACAGTTGTGGATGCACTGTCTCCTTTTATTTTGTTTCACATTCATCCTATATCAGTCAGTTGTTGGTCTAAAAGTCAGTTTTCTAAAGTCATTTCTTATTATTTTCAAATTATACTGCCAAGCTTCCTTGTTCGTTGTGGTTTTCTTTTTGACTTAGTATGGGTTTCATCAGGATAGTCTGGTTTCAATTTTCATTTTAATAAAATTTAAAACTAGTGTGGCCAGTTCATTAAATAAATTCTAGTTTCAGTTTATCCGAAGCCTTCTAAAATGTTCTTTTTGTTCACAATAAGGCTTCTGAAAGTATGGCTAGAGGTGTGGTTAAAATTTACCAAGGGATACCAATTTCAGAAATAGTAAAAGAATTCAGGATGGCTAGTTCTGATTTGAAGAGTAAAGTCTGTTGCAATAACATCTTTTAGATATCAATATACCCAATTACTACAGGAAGGAGGTCTTGAAAATTCAACTAGGTTTTTAAATCCTCTGTTGTCTCCATCCATCCTCATCAAGACAAGTATTTTATAAATTAGTAAATTGCAGTTTGTTTGTTTTTTCTTTTCTCTCCCTCACCCTTTAAAATCTGTGATTATTTATTTGTATGGCCACCCAACTACTCTCAGTGACTCAAGTGGCTTACAAAAGATAAAAAAAACAATAAAAAAACAATAAAAAGTAATACTCCCCAACCCCCTGGCAACAACAATCAATCAATCAATCAGTCAATCAAGCCACTTGATGGCTTCCATCCCACTCTGGGGCCTCCAGGCCCATTGGCAAAAAAAATAGGTCTTCAAGGCCTTGGAAAGAGTAACAAAGTGGGGGCTAATCTTACTTCCACAGGAAGGGAGCCACCACAGAGGAAGGCCCTTTCTTTTTGGTCCTGCTAGGTAGATTTTCTTAGGAGAGGGGACTCATACCATTCCCTGCCTCCCCATTCTCGGGTGGGTTGGGTAGATATGATAAGGAAAAGACAGTTACTTCAAATAACCTGGATCCAAGCCATGTAGAGCTTTAAAGATGGCAACTAGCACTTTGAATTGGACCTGGAAACAAATTGGTAGCCAATGAAGCTCGCACAGGAGAGATGACACACAGGCACAGCTAGGCCTGCACAAAACTACTGTATGCAGGTTGCTGCATTTTGAACCAATTTGAAGCTTCCAGTTATGCTTTCTGGATCGTAGTCCTGTTTCTTTAATTTGAATTTACATAATCTTTCCAAATAATGATTGGAGTATAGACACTTCAAAAAGTAAATAACTTTCAGCAAGTATCCCCAACAATATTATCATAAATCATATTCTGAGATAGTAGTATCATATTGATGTTTCATTAGTGTCAGAGTATATGACACTCTAAATGAATGTGAGGAATTTTATGAAAGTGTGGAAACAGATCTGAATAACACTGAATAATCTAATAATAGAAGCTTCCCTATAGAAAAAGAAATAGGATGCATAGGAATTGAAATATTTTTTAAAAAATGCATGTTTAACACCTGGATCCTGCAAAAGAAAGTTGTAGTATATGCTTCAAATGTTCTGAAGCATTCTTTCCAAGCATATTCCATATATGCTCCCATTTTTCAAGTATCACTCTGAATTTCATTTTATTGAGCGTACTTGCTCATAAAATTTGGGATTGGAGGAACTTAAAAAAGGAAGACTGTTGCTTAAAGTTGTTGTTGGTTTGCTTGTTTTTTTAAGAAAAATGGAAACATTGGCATTTTGGATTTTCCCCAAACATGCTGACATCTCCCTCATTTTAGGTTTAGTTAAAACCTTGGTAATGGTAACTACATTCTCTGTTAAAACTAAATTACATCAAATATTTTACTAATGGTCTCAAAACAAAGCTATGGTTTGCTAGTTTCATCTTGCATACTACTTCCACTATTGAATTCTACTTCTCTTAAATTGAAGAGGATGTAAGGATTTAACACAATACACTCATCTATTTTTACCCAAAGTCACTACCGGACTACAAGTTTTAAGTTCCTTTCCCAACAGATGTTATTTTCAGGACTATTCTCATTATTCCACTTTTTCAGATGTAGATTTTATTAGCTTTACTGCTAAATAAGTGAGATGCTAGAAAAATCTCATTCATAACAAACACCCATCTGGATTATAATTAGAATGTTTCTGAATAAAATAACATTACTTCTAGTAAATGCATCTTTAATTGCGAAAAGGCTGAGAGTCCATGATACAGTACATTGAAATAAGAACAGATATGCTCCAAAAGTATTGTAAGAGTGCATTAACTTTCAGTGCATTAACTTTAGATGATACTCAAAAGCCAGGATCAAACCATCAGATGACACTGTAATAATAGTGGTCATTTTTTCTGCTTATGTTTTTTATATTTGTTTTCATAATGATATATAAAAATATCAACTTGTGAGACTAAACAAAGAATAGCACTTATTCTATTTTTCTCCTTTTCTTCTTTGCTATATAATGCAAGCTTCATGGACAGCACATGAAGACAATACCAAAAAGTGTAGAATGTTGCAGCTAAAATTGTAACAGATACAACCAGATAAAATTATATTACATTATGTTGTAAAACAGCTGCCCTGGCCATCTCTTTGCTTCCAAGACCAGTGCATGGTGGTTTTCTTTAAATATTTAATTTGGTAGCAAGATTCTTGTTCCAGTCTGAAGATCTTTCATCTGAAGATTAACTGGGTTCTTCAAATATCACTGGTACATTACAGAGTCCTTGAGTTACAGAGTCCTTGAGTTATGACTGAAATAAATTGTGGCCATTTACAGTTGTAATTGTCATAGAACCATTTTCCAGTTTTTGTGGTGATCATTTTGGCAAAAGTGTTGTACAATGTGGCCACGTGATTATGCAGATGGCATAAATGCAGCTGTGTTGTCAAGCACCCAAAGTGCAGTCACATGAATGTGGGGAGAACCCAACATTTGGAATTTCAGATCCAGTTCATAAGCCCTCTTCTAACAGTCATTAAGCAAGCAGTCATAAATTGAGGACTATCTATATGAGACATGCAATTGCTTGTTTTGATGTTCCAGTTGTGGAATGCCTCTCCAGAGAATATTTTTTGTATAGTTAAGTCTGTATTATGAACTGATTTATAATACTTATTTCATATTTACGTATAACTTGAATATTATATTTATACAAATCTATCTATCTATCCATCTAGATATATCCAGATATATGGTCTATATCTGTATCTACAGTCTCTGGCTCTAAACTCTCCGAAATCCACTCAGAATAAGTCTAAATTTTGTTTGGCAAACATAATGACTATATATCTTTTATTATAAATGCCTTTTATTGGACAGCCCTTTATTTCAGAAAACCATTCTTCAGATTTATTTTTATTTTTTTTTTAATTGTCTTGCTTTTGCTCTTGAGCTTCCCTTTCTAAAACAAAATTATAAACCACTACATTTTTTTTTTATCTTCATGAACCTCTTTCAGATTTCCCCTTTTCTCAGACCGTGCTTTATTTTTTTTCCCCAAGAAAATACGGTCACGGTAAAAAACACGATAATTGGAATGCTGAGTAAGTTTTCTGTAAACCAACTGACCACAGCAAATTCAATCACGTGACCTTCCCCACGTGCTCGCAAGCAGAACTTCCAGAGCCGGAACTTCCAGAATTACCAGATGGGAAGATTCTTTTCAACTCCAAAGGAAAAATCTTGACCACCATCCCGCGCCCGCGTGGCCCCCTTCCCCTCTCCGGCCGGACAGAATCTCAAGTGGACCGAACCTAAGAGTTATACTGAGAGTGATTTTCTATAAAGAGCTCAGGTTCTCAAATGACAGGGCCCGAGTCCTCCATGTTAGGAGTCTAAGTACTGAAAGCTTTTGCTGGTTTTAACATTCACTCATCTTTCCGATTTTTTTTAAACAGTAGTTTTCTTACGATAAGCCAGTCAGATAAATATTTTCAATAACGAAAATGTAACTCTTATAAGATTTGTAGCTGAACCACGAGTCCAATTGGAACCCTCTCTGTAAGAAACCCTCTTCTTCTGTCATGTCATTTTTAAAGGTATAGGAACCTGCAACGAAGAAAAACAAATGCATGGGAGGGGGGGGAAGAGAGTTTGCGTCCCAAAAAGGTCTTAAGTATGCCTGTAACTCCTGCCTTCCATATGACTTTCAACCAACCCATGGCTACTTTTTTTTAACCTGCTGAGCTTGACTACATTTGTTATGCCAGGAGTCAATGTGCCCACGAAGACCCGTTGTTAGACAGCTACACCTTTTTTCTCCACCATTCTTACCTCTATGCTGCGTTCTCACTACAGTGCTTTTTTTAAAAAAAAGACTGACGCTTACGTCACTTGAACTCTCCTCCCCCCCCCTCTTCCTCGGAGTGGCTGGGAGTTCGTCGGTGTGAAAAGCGCAGAACCATCCAAAAGACGCATGCGCGGACCGATGAGTTGGTTATGTTTATAATCGGTAATGGTTAGTAAAGGGAGGAGGAGGATAATGTAGTTTCTTGGCGGGCTTCGCACAGTTAACGCCCATAGGTAAGTAGATGGCGGTGACGATGGGGAGGAGGTATCGCGCCTTCGTCTGGCAGCTTTGCCCTAGAAGCCGAGGTCGGATCTCCTTTTGAGATTGAGGGGTCGTCGCTTCCCAGTGTAACTGTGGCGCTCGAGGGGTATCACCGGCTTTCTTTCAACTTATGGAACCGACCGAACCCCTTATAAGAAAGATCTGTCTGAGTACCAATAAATGACTAAAAGAGATGGAAGGGTTGGGGGGGGGGGAAAGAGAGAGATAACCTTTAAAGTGCTGGGTGTCTGCCTGGTTTTGCTGGCTTGAATGCCCCGTGCTGTGCTTAAGAAGTAAATATGGATTGCGGAATGGGATGGGAAAAATATAATATCTTCAACATAATAGGAAGGAAATGCAGCACAGTATTGGTAACTAGAGCTGGCAGAGATGATAACTGGAGTCCACTCTAGCATTTCTTTCTGGTTTCCAATCAAAAGCTACTTAGTCTGAGAAAATTGGCTGTTCTCCTTTTGGATCTGAAGTTAATTGCAAGACGTGGGTTTCTTGGGAGGAAGAGAAATGAAATCTAGTGGATCCAATATTAATATACATATAATGTATCAATTTATATATTCATATATCATGTATACACACACACTATTTGAGAGGGGCAGAAATCAAGACTCTGAAATACAATTGTGTGTGTGTGTGTGTATGTGTGTGTGTATATATATATATATATGTGTATATATATATATATATATATATATATATATATATGTATATGTATATATATATGTATATATGTAGGTCTTTGGTTGTTCGGGTTTTCTCCCGCGTAAAATTCCAATTTTACGTGGGAGAAAACCCGGACAACCAAAGACCTACATACAAACACCCGTGAAAACCTCAGAAAACAAATGTATGTATATATTACAATTGTATTTGAGAGCTTTGATTTCTGCCCCTCAAATTGTGTGAAGGTTGAAAGTTGACACTGTGTCCTGAATGTGTGTGATGACAGGTTATATTTTTCCTTAAGACATACAGCATTTTATAATATATTTTATAATAATGAAAATGCAGTTTATATAAACAGGACTCTAGTGACATACTGTGCTAAATATGATTTATTCTAGTTTGCTATGTATTTTAATGTATGTATTATTGTAATTGTTTTGATATCTCCCAGTTCAAAGCGTGTTGATATCCTGTCTCTTCAGCTGAATGGTTTTGCAATGTTTGCTGACGTAGTCGTGGATACATATTGACTTGCAATTTTTAAAAAAGTTATGAACAAATTCCAGTGATGTCTTAGTGCTACCAAATTTGGGCTGTAAAAATCTGCATGACCACTAAATGGTAGCTAAGAGAGTTTTCTGTATCTCATTTCTGATTTGGTAGTCCTGTTTGCCACCCAGGACTACATTCAACTTAATGTAATAGTAATATTTTTCGAAGGGACATATTTTAGATGAAATGCCAGATTTCTGTACAAATATGTGATTACTTAATTAGGTGAAAGTCAACCTTGAAGTACGAGACATATTGACTAACCCAGGTTTCTATTTTCTTATGAAACTTCCTTACAGTGCAGTTTTCCTCAAACTGCACCAGAGAAGGAAGTTAGTGGAAATGCTCTGCTTTTACCCTAAATAGTTTTACAATTATTGGAAGACTATTTCTCTCTTTTTTATGTACCTACTATTGAAATATTGAAATTCTCTTTCATGTTTTTTTATTAGTTGACTGATATTGAGTTTATAAATAGGCTTTTTCCAACAGTTTGATAAGCTGAATAATTTTTATACCTACCACTACTGATTTTTGTTTGAGAGAAAGCAGTCCTATACACATTAAAAACCTCGAATCTCTCATTTGTTTAAGCAGTCTCTCAGCTCCAGGGGTGAGAGAAAAAAAAATTAAGTGATTTCTATAAGCAATTTCTCTTGTGCCTGAGCGCCCCTCCCCCCCATGGAAAGACTGGAGAAAAGGAAATTGTAAGACAATAAGCAGGTATAGAATGTGGAATATACTGGGTCTTTTGTGTAGCATGCTACATCTGCTAGTGCTACCGCATAGCTTTTGATATGCATTTTCCATTAATGTGCCTGCTTACTCTCTTATAATCCCTTCTTTTGCAAACTTCCCACTCTGATGGGGAGGGGAAACCAAGTCGGAAACAGAACAATATATACTAATTGTAATGGTGGTCACATGACGGGGGAATCTGCAAAGATCATAAATACAAGTATTGTTCATAAAGTTATAACTTTGACTAGATGCTGAACGAGGCAGTCACTAAGTAAGGACTAACTTTGCTTTTTTTGGAAGCCTGCAAACTGGACAGTTGCAAAGCCTAGAAGTAAAGTAAGAATCTCATGTAATATTTTATCACAAACTTTGCTCTTTACACATCAATTTTAAATTATTTGCTATCTACACATCAATCTACATATCTATATTAAAAATTGCACTTCAAGATTTAGGGCAGGGGTGTCAAACTAGCCGCGTCATGTGACGTGCTATGACATATCACGCCTTTGTTTGCATTGCTGGAGCTGGGGTGGGCGTGGCCTCCGCATGATGCAACAGGCGGGCAGCTTGACACCCCTGATTTAGGGCATTGAGATGCTTGGTATGAACTATTTTGTTTTGCTTCCTTTTCAGCACACACTTTTTAGGTTTCAATAATGTGACTGCTGAAATCATCATGTCAGGCCTCTGTCCTCCTCCTTCTCCTGCTGTGGCCAAGACAGAAATTGCACTGAGTGGAGAATCACCGTTACTAGCTGCCACATTTGCATATTGGGATAATATTCTTGGTCCCAGAGTCAGACATATTTGGGCTCCAAAAACGGAGCAACAGCTTCTCAGTGATGGAGAAATAACATTCCTTGCCAATCATACACTCAATGGAGAAATACTTCGAAATGCCGAGAGTAGTGCAATAGATGTGAAGTTTTTTGTTCTATCTGAGAAAGGAGTCATTATTGTGTCTTTAATTTTTGATGGAAATTGGAATGGAGACCGAAGTACATACGGATTATCAATAATACTTCCCCAGAGTGAGCTTAATTTCTACCTCCCCCTGCATAGAGTGTGCGTTGATAGATTGACACACATTATAAGGAAAGGAAGGATATGGATGCATAAGGTAGGTTGGTGGTTTTTTTTATTGAAATTACTTCTAATACTCTATTGTAATATTTCTACTTGTTAAAACAGGTTAGGTCAGAAGATCTGCCTCTTCTCAAGTGTTAAAATATCACAAGTGCTACAAATGACAAAAAAAAACCCAGACTGAGCTCTTGCTTATTTTGTCCTTGGTGTTCTGATATCCTCCATTCTAAAAATAAACATAATTTAGTGAGTCCAGAGATTTAGTCATACTTTGGTAAACAAATGAAACCAGTGAAACTTGTTTTATCGTAATTAATTTTATCAGCATTCAGCTGACCTTGGGTGTTCTCATAAAAGCAAGCCAGATCAGATCTGGCTAGGAATTAGGGGAAGATAACCAGGAAATCTCAGTGTTGAGTGGTAGACTGGAAAAATGCATTAATAAACCATGTTCAAGAAACCGCCAGAAGCTGAGATTGACTTAAAAGAGATTCTACTTTTAATTTACATAGGTTTATTCAAGAATGATTGATGTGGAACCAATACAGAGTTTCAAAAGCTGAAATAATCCTTCAAGTCATATTTAAGAACGCATAGCCCACTGTAATGGGCTGATGTTCTATAGGATGGTAGGCTGGTCTCAATTGTTGGGTTTTTTTTCCATTATTTTTGTTTTTATTTTGCTTGATTTTATACTGGTTGTAGTGCTATATTGGCTGCCCAGAATTGCAGTGTCAATTGATTAAAAAAAAATACAGTCATTCTTGAAAAAAGTAATAGAGGTTCATGACATGTGCGTAACTAATACGTACCATCTGACGTAATCTTGCTCAGAAATATATATTTAATTTCTTATAGCTAATAAGAAAAGTCTTCCTGTTAGAAAAGAGCTACATTGGTGCTGATCAGACATTTTGGATTAGAACTCTCCTAAATCCCACTAAACATGAAAATCAGTACGGCATATAATTCGTTGGTCTAGCACAGGGTAGGCAACCTTGGATCTTTTATGACTTATAGACTGGCTCAGGAATTCTGGGAGTTGAAGTCCACGAGTCATAAAAGAGCCAAGGTTGCCTACCCCTGGTCTAGCAACAGGGAAACCTAGGCTGTAGAGCAGGGGTGTCAAACTGCTGGCCCGCAGGCCAGATGCGTCATGCCGAAACCGTGCCCACCTCATTGCCGGCAATAGAAAAAAAGTCACAATATGTCATGACATGTCACGTGACATTGCGAGTTTGACACCCCTGCTGTAAAGAGTCTACAATAGCTCACCACAGCCAATTCACCATGGTTAATTTGCCGCGGGACAAGAGTTATACTAATATTGAAGAAATCGTTAAATAGAATCATTAAAGGATGCTGAAGGAAGGACAAAATAAAATGGGAATGACAAAAATTAAAATTATTTTAAAAATTATTTTAAATAATTGAATTGTTGAATTGTCACATGCTGCGTTGGCCATGGGGAGTTGTCCTGCGGAAAGTTGGCTGTGGCAAGTTGGCCGTGGCAAGTAGTTCACCCCAAGCCACAGAAGTGCACTCTTTCAGCCTAACTTACTTCACTGGGTTGACATTAAAAAAAAAATAGGAGCATTCATGTCACTTTGAGCTCCTGAATGAGATATAAATAAATAAAATAGGCTGTTAATAGCCCAGAACATCTAGAAGGTCACCCAGTGGCTTCTTTCTAACTGAACATACAGCGAAACCATTTATTCAATAATATATAGTAATTTTTTTTTTAAAATCCCACTGGCTTTTTCG